TAAGTTTTCTTTTCTCAAAATTGGACTAGATATTGAAATGCTTATACATATTGAGCATTGGAGCCTTCTTTGCAATTTATTTTTTTCTAAGTCTGAGCAATTTTTGATTAGAGTAACATTTGATTAAATGATATCAGATTATATACTTAAAAAAAATGCTAATATTCGCTTCGCCTTTCCTCAATAACAAAAAGAAAACCAAATAATTGCTTTAAAAAAAAAATAAAAATAAAAAAGTGATCGAAAAATACATGCATTTCTGACTTTTTTTTATAGAAAGCTTGATTAGCATAAGTACTGAGTTTACAAAAAAATTTTGGAAGYAAAAGTAAAATATGCTCGCCAGCAAAGTAGGGTGCATCCTGCTCAATCCCAGATGATAAATTACAATTTAACACACTCAACACTTACAAGAACAATAAAGCGGGTCTAACGAACCAAATCAGCACGACCTTTGCCTTAGGCCAATTAAGCGCTTYAACTAAACTATTTTGAATGCGTTTGTAATGTGTCATTAAAAGCTTTAAATTGTTTATGGCAGAGGCGATTGGTGCCAGCCAAAGGGGCCTGTATGGGACGAACGAAGCGGCATAATTTACGCGCCAAATGCAACAAAACAATTAGCGCGGCGCGCTCAGCTAATAAATGAAAAAGCAAATAAACTTTGAAACACATAATATTTTCCTTCTATTTCAATTAAGTGTGAAATGCCCAACATGCACAGTATTAAGAAAATATTTATTTCCTTCTGTTCTTCATAAAAGCTGCTCTTATTCTTTTTTATGCGCTGCCAGTATTAGCTGCGCCTAACTAAATATAAAAAAATAAACAAAAGAAATGTGAARAATTTGTTAAAAATAATTAAAAGCGGAAGCCAACGTGACCGAAAAAACATGATAGGAAAAACAGAAATTAGTATTTGTGCGGCAGGGCAGCACAAGTAGCAAGTCGTAAATGTGTGAAATGAACTGTGGCACATAAAGAATTTCACACCAATAAACAAGTGTTAGGTCCATATGGTAGCGCACATGTGTGCTTGGRTGTGTGTGTGCGTAAATGARCTGTCGGGTGGAGCGCGCGAAACCGAAAGGGGCCGGTAATAAACTAAACAATCGCCGAAATGCGATGACAAACAAGCAAATAGCTGACGCTGAAGGCCAACAAGCGCACCAGCGAGCATGCACATGCTCAGGCRCTCGCTTAATGCGGAGCTATATGAGACCGCGTTTCCGCTTGGCAAACAAAAATATTAAGAATTCGTGTGTTTTTTTCAGCTCTTCATTAAGAAGAAATACAGTGCCAGTTTGATCGATCGCAGCAGCCCGCGCGTGTGGGGGTGTTGATGAGGCCCCCCATTCAAAGACACACACACACCAACGCATGTTTGCATTATGWGTGGCGGTGTATTAGATTTTGTGCGCGTTGATTTGTAGCGCTCGCGCGCTGCAGAGGCGAGAAATATGACGCGACACGYGCTAATCCCRWCCGCCTCTGGAGATGATTAATGTGCCGAAAAGCGTTTTCAAATTTATTCAATTTCATACACAACTCTAAACTGCTTGAATATGCAGCGTTCAGCGTTCATTGTTTTTGTATGTGCCTTTCCATTTGCGTTTGTCTCTGTCTGTGTGTGATTATGAACTTATTCATCTTCGGCGCATTTGTCGCTGYGGCGGCGGGACAAGTGTCGGCGGCTGCGCTAATTTTACTTTCAATTTATGCTTTTTAATTTTATTTCTCCATACTTTTTTTGTTCTAATAAATTTCGTGGAATTTCGAGGCGTCTCAGCGCCAAAGAAAACAGTGCGTGGCGCAATTCAAAAACTGAAGGTGAGCACAAATCTACACCAACACAAAGAGATATTCATAAATCAACAGCAAGCGACAACAATGCGTGGCGTGGCGAGCTTCAGGAAAATGCGAAGAATGATTTTGGAAAGTGCACAGCGTGTCGCCGCCGCTGTAATGTGTAGGATCCACTTTTAAATGAGAAAAAAAGCAAATAAATAAAATGTCATTGGAAAATAATCAAATCTTTATAAACGCCTAAAAAACTAATCATATGCATGCATGTGTGTGTGTGGTGTTGTGTTRGTGCTCCAACTAAATCAKAAAGWAAATTCTCCAATTAATCGGCGGCTGCTTGTGCTGCCCCATTGTATGCACTCCCAGTTAATTTGGCCTGGGCGGCGCTCAAGTGACTCAATTAAGTGCCACAGCAACAAGCCAACCGCACAAACAACAATTCTAAGAGATYCGGTGCATTTGTTGTGCCACTCGATACACCCAAAGCAATGGTCATATCGYCATGTTTGGGTGCGTGTGTATTTGAGGTGCATATATTTGTTTTGTTTTTGTTGTGGCTGCAGTTACGGTGTGTTGAGTGTAACGCCAGGCAACAGCACGAAAACAAATAAACGCTCGACTGCATTCGAGTGGAGAGCCAAGCATTGAACAGTGTTTGACCGCCTAAAACTAATTGGCTGTCAGAAACTTAAAAAAATGAAATGAAATATTTGAAATTGCTTAATTTATTCCTCTCTATGGCTGTTGAAAGAAATCGCGCGTTTTGGTATCTTCGTAAAAAGACACGCACGGATTTATGGTTCAGACGAAGTGGACTTTTGCCACTTTCAATATAGTTCTGGGTCAGGAAAAGGTATTTGGTGGTAATGCCACATTAGTTTAAGTTCCRCCTGATTTTAATGCGAGAATCTAGCGAAAGCACGTAACATTTGGGATTCCCTTATTGATCCTGCTATGTCTGTCAGCGCGCGTAGAAACAAACATTTTTCTGTTTTTGGCATTATCGAATGACTTATATTAAATAAATTAGGGTGAGATTAAATTTGGGATATGCTCATGTCTTATGGAAGCCATTCGTTATGATGAAGCTTCGCCGCTTGTTAAAGGTTCATAATTTGTTTTAAATACCCATATTTCAACTTCTTCATTTGATTTCTTTGAGAAATACATCGGCCTTGACGAATTCTTTAAGATAAAAGTGGATACTATTATATTATCACTTTCAAATATTTTAAATCTTGAAATGGTATCAGTTTGTTTTTATAATATGAAAATATATAACATGTAGTATGTATCTGGTAAACTCGGGTACTGAATTTGATATCGAAGTTAGAGGCAATCAGTTCAATACTCACTTCTACGCGAAAGAATTTTACTTGATTTCAGAAATTAGAAAGGACGTTGCAAATGTTGAAAAAAGTGTTATCAAAAACACAAACCTACGAATGGTACAAAGACTTCAAAAACTGTCGAGAGATCGTTGAAGGCATGCCTCGTTCTGGACAGCCCTCGACCTCTTCAACTGAAGAACTGCTGAATAAAAAAGTGAAGGATATGGTGCTTGCAAATCGTCAGGCAAGTCTTAGAGAGATGGCGTTAACAGCTCGACATCGCTCGCGAGTCCATTCGAATGGTTTTGGTGGATATGTTGTGTATGAAACGGGTCCTTGCACGAATAGTTCTGAAAGAGCTCATTTCAAAAAAAAAAAAAATAACGTAAACATGCTTCTTTGAATACGCTTGATCGTGCGAATTCCGATCTCACAATCATGTAGAACATTACAACTGCTGATGAGACATGTTCATAGGTTTGGCTTGCAAACCATCATCGGAATGGATGGGAAGAAACGAGCTGAAACCTAAAAACCACACCAAAGCCGCTCAAAAATCAAGGTTATGCTCATTGTTGTTTTCGATATTCGTAATTTGATGCATCATACATTTATTTCGGGGGGACAGACGCTCAATGAAGAGTTCTATTTGAACGTAGTGGAGCATTTGTGTGAGAACTTCCATTGAAAACGGTCCTGATCAGGAAAAACAATTCATGGATATTACACGATGATTATGCACCAGCTCATCGAGGAACGATTGTGACCGTATTTAAAGCCTAAAACGCAATGATTATCATTAATCAACCACCGTATTTATAAGATTTGGCTTGGTGTGATTTCTTTCTGTTTTCCAAACGGAAATTGCTCCGTGGAAGCAGTTTTCTGTCAATCGAAGAGATAAAACTAAATTTGCGGAAGGAGCTGAAAGCCATCCCGAAAAGTGCTTATGAAAATTGTTTCGAGGACTAGAGAAATCGTATTACATCCAGTGGGGACTACTTTGAAGGCGACAAAATAAATATATTGCATTTATTTACAATTTCCGGGTATTTTTTTGTCACAATGTAGGAAGAGAAATTAAATTTAAGCTATTAGAAAACATTATAAGAAAAGTACTTAGTTAATAAATATTTTTAAGCATTCAGTGTTGCGCGTTTTCGTAAGTAAGAATTTCCTACGCTGTAATGCCGCTGCGGCCCACTGTGCAGCTGGCTCTTGTGCGCTGCTTACATTGCACCGACTTGCAGCAGGCCATAAATTAAAACAACCAACACATTTTGCTCTATTACAACGACTACAACAACATTAAAGACGAGCAGTAAGTGTGAGCATATGATTTTGTTATTGCACTTTTCCTGCCTTWTATTAATGTTTACAGAAAGGTAGGCAGGCTGGCAGGCAGGCACTTTGAAGCTGCTAGCATGGCAGCTAAAGATGTGCCCAACCACAAAAACAAATAAATACCATACAACAAACACACACATGCATACATTCATCGATGTGTATTTATACAAATATCTATTTAGTGATTGTGTGCGCGCACCAACAGCGTGTGGCACAACAAATGCCAGCAGCAAACACCTTTGAAAACAAACAAACAACACGTGAATTACGTTCGAACGGCGCTGCGAAAGGGGGGCCTGACGCGCACAATTGTGAGCAGGGACACATGTACAGCACTTCAGTTGGCAGCAAGAACAACAACAAATACTTAGTGTAGTCATTATTTATTTATTTACGAGAGTGTGGCATCACTTACTTAATAGACACATGAGTTGCTAGACATGCGAGTGTGACTTTGAGTAGTTTGTATGGACAATTGATTAGAATTAGGCGACAAATACCTTGTACACTACTTACCAGGTGGTCCTGCTGGACCTGGTGGCCCCTCAATGATGCCGGTGGGAAATTCGTCACCCTTAATGGTCGTCGTAAGACCCCGATCACCGCGGTCACCTTTGTCACCCTGCAAAGGACACAATGAGAATAAATATAAACATTTTTAAAAGCAATTACATTTGTGGCAGCAGATTGCACATGCCTCAGCATCCGCAGCATATACATGTGCGCATAATGTGTGTTGTTGAATCTTTTTGAGTATGTCTCTGAGTCTTCTCACGAGTTAACAGCCCAAGCACACAAGGAATTAAGGGTAAAATAAGCAAATGTCTAAACATGCAACATAAGCAAATGATAAGTGATGTGACAGTCCGTTGTCCGGCCACTCAGCCAACAAGTCAGCGACCGCACACATCACATGCCGAGTAACTGCCAGCGAACTCGCCTTTGTAGCGCTATCTGCCGCTGCGACATTCCGGCTCTGCAATTGATGYGCRCACTCGTCGGCACTTTTGGGTTGAGCGCAGACACATAAATATCCGTTTTGATAGGATAATAGTGTACAGTTGTTGTTGTTGTTTGTTCACAAAATTGGAAAGCAGCAGTATAAAAACCAAGGCGAGGTGATATAAGCGAAAACAAAAGCCTGTATAAATRGAAAATGAATAGGCACTAACGAAGSAAACAACGCCTGCAGCTGCAACACGGCGTAGGATGCCATGCCACAGCCGCACAACGGTTTTCTCTCCGTTTTCATTGTGTGTGCGAAGGATGCGTGCATAAATTGACCCTTGACAACTTATTTGCTTTGAAATATTAGATACTTAATAGCGTTATTGTTTGTGCGACACACGTTTCTAATGCAAACAGCGGTTAACACACACACAAACATACACACACATAGACATATGTGCAGATAGATGTGTGTTTTTGGTGCTATCGGTCCAATCATTAATTCAGAAGTATCCTTTTAATGTGCATGAAATATGCCTCTACTATCTTGCAACATCAAATAAATTTTGTTGTTTTTGATTAGTGACTTACGCTCAGTTATTGTTCTCACGAAATGGCTCATCAAAGTTTTGAGATYTTGCTATTTCATTAATCAGTTCAATATCAGCAATAATAATACCAGAATTAATGTTTTGGATCGTGTTCAAAAAGTGTGTAGAAATGTTCCCACAGTTTGTCTCTTATACTCGTATACTACAACTAGAAATCAAGAACCATTCATAGATTTTTGGATTCAATATATTTCCAGGGAATGTGAACTCTTTCAGTCCTTAATATTAACTTGTCAGGCCATATTAAACTTGTCAGGGTCTCAGGCCAAAGCGGAATCATTAATGCAAATTCGATGACTTTGCTCCCCACATCCCATTAGAATGGGAACGAGCAGATGTTCCTTTGACTGAATTCGGGTGATGAAACTTTGCGTCTCGCGTAAGCTCAATATGTGCATTGGTCAGCAACCAGCACTTGTGTGATTACGAAAGCCTTCTGTACAATTGTAGAATGTAAAAAAGGGCCACTATCGATACATAAAGCATTCTCTGCCTATGCGATCAAATCGCTACTGCTGTATGAGTGTACAGAACGGTTGAATAGTCTGGCGGAACGTAACCAAGTGTACCTCATCTGAGTGCCAAATTCCAAAGGTATAGTCGAAAACGAACTGGCTGATGAGCTCGTCTTCTCCGCAGTATCCTCTAACATGGTAGGACCTGAATCCTTTATCGGTGGGTCTTCTTACCATAAAGGAGCTGCTCCGCAAGGAAAAAGGAGGTATTGGTAGCAACTCCGAATATRCTAACAGCAGGTTTAAATATGCCGTTAATCTCCCTAGGCGCAAACTCAGGCTACTTAAAGCATTCTACACTGGGCACTGGCTAGATGGGTCGTTGTGTTTTAGGAGAGGGCACAATAGACCTAAGGTTGCGATGCAATCCTCTTATATTTATCTTACCTTATCTTATGCAGCTACTATCTCTTAGGTTCATATGGCCGCAATGTTTGGTGTCCTAATTGGAAATTGTTCCATTGGCACTCATGTGGTGTGGATACAGTTTTTGAAGGACCCAACATGTCAAAGTTAGGGGAGCAGCATGAGCTGGACATATTTAGAGACTTTATCCTTCATAGCTCGTCATACTAAAGTTTAAGTATCTTAGTTGGCATGCTTTCCACCAGCATGTGGAACAAGGTTTTCTTATTAGATAACTTTCAATACTTAACGATTTAATGACCATACTCCACGCCATCTTAACTACCGAAATTTTCTTGGTATACATAAATCAAAAACTTTCAAACATACAATTACAGGGTCTTACATCTTATGATGTATCGCTCGAATGGAATGGAAGTGGAAAATATTCTTTGATTTTGTACTCTGACCTTTTTGTTTCCAAACCTATTTCTCACTACAATGGGATTATCATAAATATTTGTTCAAAATTCTTGCGAATCAAGAGTTTCAGTGTACATAAATTATCTCATCTCAACAACACAAATTAACTCCAATGTTTTTCGGGAATGACATATTTTACGTATTTCAATTGCAGTTTTTACTCCTTCATCGTCCTTGTGTGCGTGCTTCTACATCAGCTCAAAGGATTCATAATCCATACACATGACTAGAACGTGCCTGCACTTACCTTAGGTCCCAGTGTGCCCGGCGCTCCAGGTGGGCCAATCGGTCCGGGTTCTCCAGGTGGTCCAGCAGGTCCCGCTGGGCCGGTTTCGCCAGGTGGACCACGTCCGCCATTCATGCCGGGTGAGCCGGGCTCACCAGGTGGTCCTGGCGGTCCAGGCGGACCAGGCTCGCCAGGTTCACCCTAAGCGCCATAACGGCAGCAGCAAAGAGACAAAAATATCAATTAATGAAAATAGTTGACAAATGTTACCAGCTTCTACTATGTACAAACAYATCTACATATGTGAGTGCAAGCATGCAATTATGGCAAAATAAATATGTGGAAGCTGCAAAGCATGCTGTTAGTAAAGGCTAAACATGCAAAATTTATTAAATTGAAAATACTGGAGAAATGTTGAAATGTTGAAAGTCGTCGGAAAATGCCTGTAAGCTCCCTTTTTTTTTTGGTTGTTGGTGATATGACATGTACGGGAGCTTCACTAACTACATGATACATATGTGTGCGCGCGTTTGTGTGTGTGCGCACACTTACGATATTGCACTTTTGCATTTCAAATGAATTTTGATGAATATTTGCTGTTTGTTATTTTATGTGTGCATATTAAAAATCTCCAGTGACCAAATGGCATAACGCTTGCGCCTGGCCACCTGCCGCCGACGCACTTTATGTGTGGATGTTTGGATGGGTGTGTGTACGGACGTGCATCTACTTATGCATGAAAATGTGCACTCATAAATACATGAATATCTTTTTGCTTTTAGGACTTTTAGCACTAGTTTTGCATTTGGCTTATGTGTGTGTGCGTGTGTTTGTTGTTGCATTCAGAAGCATGCCGACACTTACCTTCAATTGTATGACAGTGGCGGCTGAYACATTCACACCGGCTTCTTGCAAACCCTTACAAATTATAAAAATAAAAATGAAAGTAATAAAAATAAAAATAAGTATAAAAAACAACAACTAAATATTTATAATAACTTAAAGTAAAGTGTAATGGGAGTGAAATTGATTTTGACGCCGAAAAAAATTTTAATGATTTTTACATTTTAAAACATTTTTTTTTTTTAATTATTGGTGAACTTTTTTTTGGTTAGCGTTCAACCACATCACTCTCGAAATCATATGAGATTGAGAACTGTCAACTCTCGCCTCGATCTGCAGCTAGCATACGCACCATCTCAGCAGCGGTGTTTTTGCTTTTGAAAACTAAMAGGACAGTGGATGCTTGGCGATCTGAAGACGTTTTGATTGTAASACTTACACTTAAGCCACTATGGCAGTGTAAACCCTTGAGCAAGCTGCAGAACACTCCCTTTTCTATCGTGACGAGAAATAAAACTCTCTTTAAACGAAAGTTGGAAGCTTGTTAGACATAATGTGCTTACGCTCTCCAAATGAAATTAATAAATTTGTTATTACTGTTTTTAGTCACCTCCAAAGTATTTATTCCCYAAATTAACAACAAGAATCCTCTTAAGCAATTATTTCGCTGGCCTTTCAACTTCAACTTAASTATACTGTTATTTTGAATGCTTTCGCAGTTTATTCTCGCCAACAGTAAACACTCAAATTTCTCTTAAACGCTGCTTGACATAAAACTTTTAAGACCTTTCGCCTAACGCAGACGCAGACGTAAGTCGAAGTTGTCATGTGTGAGGTCCTTTCCATGGAAATGGGGAAAATAAAAGAATTTCGTGCTGAAAGCTTATGCACATGAACACGCACATACTCACACACACTTACACATGCTTAAGCGTGTTTTTGCAATGCAAACTTTGTAAGCGCACACACTTTTCTTTTGGCCATTTGCAACATATGTGTAGCACTTTTCCGTCTGAAAAATTTCATAAAATTGACTTGCAGATGATGCCACATGTTTGGAAGCGCTTGAGAAAAAAATTTGTACGTGTACATTTACATTCATTCTATGTACAGGCATTGCATATGCAGTGCAACACTTGTGTGTAAAATGCGTTGTGGGTGTGGTTTCTTCGAAGAAGCCAAGAGGAAAAGTTTCGTTGCCTGGTATAACAAAYGGTACTATGAGGTTTCGAAAATTTCCGACTTGAAACCTATTGAAAATTTGTACTTTTATGACTCTTCGCGTTCTATTTCACTATATTGGGTAGTCGAAAAGTATTTTATCTACAGTGCTACCAATCACATTGTGTCATACCATATAGTGTTGGAAAGGTGAGATTTTAAGCTTTATTTAACCAAAAAATGTAGATCGGGGAAGTTGAAAAACAGTTGAAGGAATGAAGGAATTCGCTTCATTTTGAAAATTGTATATAAAAAGGGAAAAATGCTACCCAAGCCACCAATGAAATTTGTGTTTACGGAGACGATGATGTATTAGTTCGTATAGCACAAAAAAGAAAGATGCACCTCGCTCTGGTCGATCTATCGTTGAAAATAGCGATGAGATTGACCAGGACGGTCTCATAAGCAGCCATGACATCGCTAAGGAACTTAACATTTTTGAAAAGCCAGCTGGAACATCTGCGATTATTTGCTGAGACGAAATGAAATGGAACCATTTCTGTAGCGAACCATAACAGGAGACGAAAAATGTTGGTCAAATACGACAATAATGTGCTAAAAAGATCATAGTCCAAGCGTGGTGAAGCTCAAATGCTCGAATAGCCAGGATCGACGACTCGAAAGGTTATGCTGAGTGTTTGGCGGGATTGGAAAGGAATCATCTACTATGAGCTTCTCCATCCAGTCTGATCAAATTTATTCTACATTTTACTGATGAGATTGAAGCAGAAAGGGCTTCGTCTTCCATCAGAACAACGCAGCATCGGACTATGATTTTTTTCGGTCAATGCTGAACTTCCCTTATTGGAGTAAAGTTGGCTTCAAGGCAAGCCTGTGAGCTACTACGACTACTTGTCGTAGTTTTCGCCAAGAAACCAGAAAATTTTACACTTATGGAATAATACCAATAAATAATAATGGCAAAAAGTGGTCCAACAAAATTAATATTATTAGAMACACGAAAATACTTTTTCGACCAAATGATGTTTATGTCCCAATGGAATTGGCTGGTTTGTGTAAAAGTGTTTCGAAGAAGACCTTCAATTTTCGAATGATTTCGGTTGTGATTAGCAAAATTTCCGACAAGGCAGCCAGCCGTTAATGTGTTAATACACGGAACATCTGTATCTTACGTATCGTAGTCATCTCCGCTGTCCAGACACATTTATGAGCGTGTGGTGCATCTTCAAATAATTCGCTTTAATATTTTTTACACACACCAATATGAAATCGCGACAAATGGCCATTAAACCGAAGCGTTGAAGCATGCAAAATGAAAGACAGAAGCCGATTTCGATGTGAGCGCCGATGTAAATATGCCGTTGTGAGTAACACATAAAAGGCATTATAGGAAAGAGAGCGGGTATCCAAAGAGCAGTTTTGCAGCTGATGTATATRTGYATTGAAAGTKTCCGTCAGCAAAAACTAATTTTGTTTAAAAATCACCTAAACGCGGCTTATCCTTTAACGAATACTTCGCTGCGGCCAATAAACTGCTTGCRCGCTCCCAAGCTCATTGWCGCGGTCAGTTACCGCTCAGAAGAAGCGTAGTGGTCAGCGGTGAGCAACAACAAAATGTATCTTAGCAGTAAAGTGTTAAAACGATTTCCTTAAATGGCATCTTCAAAGTTGCCACATGTCGGTGCATTCGTGTTTGAGCGTGCGTTGGTGTTGGAATTCGTAAGCAAAATAGTTTTATTGGATTTGTTGCTTGTAAGCGTGTGAGGTTTTTAAAAGACTAACGTCTGCATGTGCATGGGTCTTTCTTTAAAATTTTGTGTGAAACGGACATTAAGTGCATTTACTGCTTGTTTGGCGCTCAAATGTGAAGTTGTAAACGCTTTGTTGCATTGTCGGATAAGCGGTTTTGGGTTAAGATGACTTGAGATGGGTTTTTAAAGTTTTATCACACCCACTAATACTGAGTTCATGGCTTCAATAACGGTTATTGCATATGCACATATGTTGTTAAAATTTTCTAGCGTTTTCTATGTGGTGTGGACTTGAATGCAATCCGAAAATGCATCAACTTTAATGGTGCCGAAGATTACATTAATATTTTATTGTGCGTAGTTTAAAGAAAAAGGAGACAAACAAACGGAATATATGTAAACATAGCATATATATTTTCCAAATTTTCTATTAACTCTTATATTTTATGCTGCGATTGTGGAGTTCAACCTATTTTCTTCAATTCAAATTCTTCTCTTCTTCTGTTTTGAGGATTCGTTTTTGAAATAGATTGAAATTGAATTTTAAACGAAAAAATTAATGAACAAAAATAAACCAAGTTAAGAAATATTGTTTGGTTGAAAAAACAATATTCATAAAAGAGTAGTACTCCTACCTAAATATCAAAAAAAAAAAATCCCACGAAATAATAACTACAAACATGTCAGGAACGACTAAGTTCGGATGTAACCAACTCTTGAAACAGAGCAGAGATCACAGCCGGGTAAATTTCCTTTCGAACGTCAATAACGCATCTCAAAGCTTGACCGATATTTTCGGWAAAAGGTTCACATGAATCACTGTCGTTCACATAGTCAGTATCATGGGGCTTGATCAGTTGTAGTACGATTATGACAATTTTTGTTTACAAGGTGGCTTGTATYTTAAATGCACTATGTGCAAAATTCTGATTCAAGAAATGGATGGAATTTAAAATGGTTTTATATGAAAAAAAGCTGGTTTATAGCCCGATTTTGCGATTTCGTGCATTGATACGAATGTCAGGAAAATCAGACGTACGAAATTAAGTTGAAATTGGTACGATATGTCCGAAGATGTGTGATTTCACCCAAAGTTGGGTAATTTTAACTTCGTCTCCAAAAAAACGCCGTTAAAGGCGATAATAGAAACATTTGTTCTCAGGAAATTTGTTTGATTTGGCTTTACACTTTAAGACGCCAAGACTAAACCTCCCTCACATATTTTCTAAATTTTTATAAATATGTACCTTGTTGAACAGGTTTTCCTCATTGAAATAATTCAGATATGGGACACACAAAATATCAGCAGACTGGACACTGGTCGGAAATTCGCATACTTCATGGAATATATATTTTAAAAGGCTCTACCCACAAGGAACGAATAGCATTTGCGTGGATACAATATTATTTGGGTTCAGAATAGTTCTTAAGTGTTCGAATGAACTATTTATTTTCAGMAAGTTGCAACTTGTCCTAAATATTAGGCTTGTAACGGGCTATTGTATAAACGATCTTGCAGTGAGGTTAAAATTTTCGCAAAAATCAGTTGGCAAAGGCGGCCAGTGTTGTGGCATTGACTTTGCTTTAAAATATTTATTCTTGATATCATTTGGCGATATCGTAGACTCTGATTCACTTTTAGCAGATTATAAGTAAAAGATCGGTCTACAATTCTTCAACAGAGAACAGCTGCACCTCCGGCTCTATAACATGCTAAGGGTGGAGTGGAAAAATGTGTTGTTGATTTGGTTTCGGGTTGGGACTATTTTATTTCCTTTTTTCCAAAACTTTCAGATCCCTTTAAAAGGAATGGGTTTTGAAAATATTAGTCTCTAATCTTATCACTAAGCATTGACGCATATCCCGTAGGGTGACTTAACTTAATATTTACAATGGGTAAACGTGTAATAACTTATAGTATGTGAAATTTCATTCAATATTTAAAAACAAATTTTAAATATATAGATGTAATTAAATGAAAACTTTAAGTTTACAATGCTTCACTTAACGTTGTAATTTCAATTTAAAAATCATTCATTAATTACTGTAAAGGTTACTTGGTAACATTGGCCATAATTAATAAACCTATATGTATGATATAAATTGATGAGCATAAATTTAATGGGCTAATTGGTCGTAATTTAATGAAATTGCAACGGAGAAAATTAATTATTTCGTTGGAATTTTTTGTGACGTCAAACTTTTTTGTTGGAGTTATATATTGCCTATCTTAACAAATACATATATGCAGGCACAGTATCTGCAACGAATAATCGTACATGCTCTGAGTGGAGTTAAAGCTGCCTGAGAG